GGTAAAATTGTCGCTTTTATCGGTTGATGGAGCGATTTAAGTAGGTGAACTTCTAGGACTCAGCCTCTAAACACTGGAGGGGGAGGGAGCGAAACGTGGCACGGTGCTCTAAGCCATTTTCGAACCTTGCAGTTCATTAATTGCTAACTCCATTGAGCAGGGAAATCACCAGACGTTATTTTTCTGCGAACAACACAGAAGCGGATAGCAAGTTTAGCAGGCTGTGCAGGGCCTGTATATGGTTAGGCTCCAATGGGCGGGTGATGAAAACGCGAGGTGGGAAATGGGCTGGTGGTGAACGCAAACTACTACCTCTAGCGCTAGAAGTACAGACATCAAAGATCTGGTCCTTCTTTGAGGGACTTGTCGCGTTGAGTTTTTGGATGACGTTTGTTTGTATTCATAATTTTAGCAATTATAATCGTAGTGATGCGATCTGGCAGACCAATTCCTTAACCGGCTGACGGGACAGACCATCATTGTAGCAAACTTTCTCAGAGGGCTGCCACGCCGGGAAATATGATTTATGGTCATACCAGAATAGGCAAGACGTGCCACTATGCTTTATGATGCGGGCCCCTGTTAAGATTACCGCCCGCCTTGACCTACCTGATAACTGCCTGATTATCTGTTGTGATGATTAGCACAATGTGTAAACCTTGTTGCTATTAAAACAGTCCGAAAGGTGCTGTTTTTTCCACTGCCATTGTCCACTTCTTTCCCAAGTCTCGTCGTGAATTGCCATTCCCCGTTAGGCAGGTGGATAGCAACGTGAAACATGAGGTTTCCGTGCACTCGTTGTGGAGTAATACTGACGGTGTCTCCTGTGTTTCCTACCCAGTTTGTAGCTGGAGTGACCATGTGGACCTAGAAATCTCCGCTTGTCCGGGTTATAATTTCCTTGTTAAGCGACATACGACCTCCTGCTACCGGGAAGCGGAGGTTGCATTTTCGAGTGTACTCAATAAAGGCTCACAATATACCCATGCTGTCAGCAACAACGCGTAACCTCTCGATCGAACTGACAGTTAAATGATCGAATGCACGCAATGAGTCAAGGCGTTTTGCGGCCAGCTCAGTCAACTTTTCGGAGAGGAGATACATCGACTTTCCTCGCAGTCAGTCAGCCCAACGAAAGAACACACTGAACATTATTATACTATGTAGTTCAACGTGATAATGCAAAATTAGAGTATATATATACGGGAAGACAACGCATGAAACTTCTTTAGTATGGAACATTTGATGTTTCGGACCAGGTTCGGTCCGTCTTCAGGGTACTTCATCTTCTTCTTTTTTGTACTCTGAAAACGGCCCGAGCTTGTCCGAAACGTCAGAAGTCCCTAATTAAAGAACATTATATGTTGTCTTCCCCTTGTGACCTACCAAAAGATTATGAATATAAATAAATATGTTTATTTCTTAGGTCTTGCTCATTTGCCCTAATGACGACGACCTCTGTGCTAGCTGAGATACATTTGGTCCCACAGGTAAAATCTCTTGACTCACGTCAACAGTCGACTATCAGGAATGAGAAGATTTTATGTTTGTTGGTGGACAACAGGAAAAAAAAACAGTTTTATGGCATGCAGCGCAATATGTCTTTCATGTGGGAAACAAATGCTAACGTTTCTGGTCTTTCTCTGTCAGGGGCCTGTAAAAGAGGCATTAGTTAGGAATTTGAGGTTACCTGTAGCAGAGGGCTCGTTTGGAACTGAGGGACCGACTCGTCGTTACTAGTGGGCTTTCTGCAAAATGACATTGTTCACTGTTCAGTTCTGTCTCTGTGAATAAAATGGAGGTAAAAAAGTGCACATTAAACTTGAACGAATGTTAAAGCGTAAAACGTTCGATCAAAGCTTTGGTTTAGTCGATTTGTTCCGCTGACAGAAGAACCGACTAACGAGCAACAACAGCCAGCGGACGCTAACGAATCCTGCGCATCACCACCAAAGCTGAATGGCACCATGTCGGACGACGCGTGCAGCGCTGTTGGTCAGACGTCGATAGACAAGGAGGTGGCTTCAGAAGACTACGAGACGCCGTCCGAGGGTGGAGGCGTCGACGAGCCGCTGATCAGCGCCGCCGCAACAGCGACGTCATCGTTGGCGATGAACCGCGGAGGTCGACCGACCCTGGTCTGCCCGGAGTCAGAAGAACAGCCACCGCCGAGCGACATTCCCAAAAGCGATGCTTTCTGCTATCGTCCCAAGTATTACTCTTTGAAGCTAGACCGCGATATTAAAGATGACGAGAAGCAGTGGCGAAGTGCCGCAGATCCGATGTATCATTTTGACCGCTCTTTGGCAGCGGACAAAGAACAACCGACCGAGGGCCGCAGCCCTTCACTGCCAAGAGGCATTACGCGAGTGGCGATGGTTCCTCAAAACGTGTGTTTGAATAGTCAACCTGTAACGAACGGCGACATGGCTCTTTCGCCGCCGTCTCTAACCATGAAGACGACTCCTCTTAAGAAGCCCCCCGTCCATTTCCCCACGTCCCAGCACAACGTAATCTCTCTGTCTCCGCCTCCAGTGCAGGTCGGAGAGGAGACAGTAATCATACGCCTTAAGACTTTTCCGAAGTTGCGCTACCCGATTGAAGATCTGTCCTCTTCTAGTGACTCTGAAGACAAATCGCCGACGACCTCCGTCGCTGCTGAACGCAGACAACCGACGCCCACCTCCACCGGCGCCCTGTTTCGCAGCGAGACACGGTCGATGAGTCCAGTCAAATTTCCAAGCTTTGAAGTTCAGGGCAACTCCGTACTTCAAAGCAGGCCGAAGTTTGCCGCTACTCCGCAAGTCAGCGCCCGGCTAAGCTCCGTTACGCGCCAATTGCCCCCTGTTCCCCCTCTTAAACCGCCGAAAACGCTGAAGCTGAATCCTATCTACTACGCAACCTCAAACGAACCTTATCGTCAACCGGCCGCGACCCCGACCGCAGACTCGGGCTCTCCTGAGGCACCACCGGCCAGAAGTGAGTATCGCTTGTTGAACAGCTGCACGATTGCTATTTTCCTATATGCATATGTACTTCGTAAAATTTTTGTTTTGTCTTACTTTCATTGATATGTATCGAAATTGCCCAAGCGATGACAAACACGCAAATCATTGATATCCAATAAGTTCAAATCATGAAATATTAAATGCACGCAATATAATATGACATTATGATATCACGGCTGATGTATATGGACGACCTGAAGCTATAAGCGACACCGCTAGAGAAACTGGATAATCTGATCCAGAGCAAATGGATCTCTTCAAAAGGTATCAGGATGGAATTAAGTTGATCGTTATTGTATAGATGTTTCATGATTGAAATTAAGAAGAAAAAGATCTGGAAAATTCAAAGATGCGAGGCTATCAACTGGTAAAATAAATAGCGTGTTAGAATATCAGTTCCACATACTTTGGCATACTGGGAATGAAAGATGGGAACAGAAAAAAATGAAAGAATCGACCAATTCGGTATATGTGGAAATGACCCGTCGAATCCCGGGTAGCAAACTGTGTGGGAAGAACAGAATTGCAGCCATTAACTAGGACCAGGACTCTGTACCAGTGCTAGATTATGCAGAAGGCATGGCCAAAAATGCATAGAAAGAGAAAGGCTGAACTAAATCGGATGGTAAGAACGATCCTGAGGAAGAATGGGATGGACGTCTGAAAGCAAATGAGGTAGACTGTATATGTGGAGTGAGGAAGAAAGAAGATGAATTCATACCAACAACCATTCTTTGGAATTTGAGAGGTCATTCCTACGGTAATTGCTGACCACGCCATTGAACGATATGCTGCAAACAACGGCCTGTGCAAACAGGATGGCAAACAGATGAAAATTCAAGGTACCAGTACCATGGAAAAAATGCGAAAAGTGGTTGATGCAGGAGTTGAAAGAATAAAAAGCTTCAAG